GAGAATAATGGTTGTTCTATTTATATGAGTAATATCTTTTATGGTCATGCACCCTTGAAGAGTGGTCTATTTTTGATGGATCTCGATAGTAGTGATACACATATTCATAATGTTGAAGCCAAAAGATGCAGAGTTGATAATGATAGTGCAACTTATTTGTGGCACGACCGTTTAGGTCATATCGGTGTAAAGCGCATGAAGAAACTCCATACTGATGGACTTTTGGAACCACTTGATTATGAATCACTTGGTACTTGCGAACCGTGCCTCATGGGCAAGATAACTAAAACGCCGTTCTCCGGTACTATGGAGAGAGCAACAGATTTGTTGGAAATCATACATACAGATGTATGTGGTCCAATGAATGTTGAAGCTCGTGGCAGATATCGTTATTTTCTCACCTTCACAGATGATTTAAGCTGATATGGGTATATCTACTTAATGAAACATAAGTCTAAAACATTTGAAAAGTTCAAAGAATTTCATAGTGAAGTTCAAAAGCATCGTAACAAGAAAATAAAGTTTCTACGATCTGATCGTGGAGGAGAATATTGAGTTACGAGTTTGGTTTACATTTGAAACAATGCGTAATAGTTTCGCAACTCACGCCACCCGGAACACCACAGCATAATGGTGTGTCTGAACGTCGTAATCATACTTTACTTGATATGGTGCGATCTATGATGTCTCTTACAGATTTACCGCTATCATTTTGGGGTTATGCTTTAGAGACGGCCGCATTCACGTTAAATAGGGCACCATCAAAATCCGTTGAGACGACGCCTTATGAACTATGGTTTGGCAAGAAACCAAAGTTCTCGTTTCTGAAAGTTTGGGGCTGCCATGCTTATGTGAAAAAACTTCAACCTGATAAGCTCGAACCCAAATCGGAGAAATGTGTCTTCATAGGATACCCGAAGGAGACTGTTGGGTACACCTTCTATCAAAGATCCGAAGGCAAGACATTTGTTGCTAAGAATGGATCCTTTCTAGAGAAGGAGTTTCTCTCGAAAGCAGCAAACGAAGGAGTCTGGATGAAGGAGTTCATATCCGATCTTGGTGTCATACCTAGTGCATCGGGTCCAATGAAAATCTTTTGTGACAATACTGGTGCAATTGCCTTGGAAAAGGAATCCAGTTTTCACAAGAGAACCAAGCACATCAAGAGACGCTTCAATTCCATCCGGGATCTAGTCCAGGTGGGAGACATAGAGATTTGCAAGATACATACGGATCTGAATGTAGCAGACCCATTGACTAAGCCTCTTCCACGAGCAAAACATGATCAGCACCAAGACTCCATGGGTGTTAGAATCATTACTGTGTAATCTAGATTATTGACTCTAGTGCAAGTGGGAGACTGAAGGAAATATGCCCTAGAGGCAATAATAAAGTTATTATTTATTTCCTTATATCATGATAAATGTTTATTATTCATGCTAGAATTGTATTAACCAGAAACATAATACTTGTGTGAATACATAGACAAACAAAGTGTCACTAGTATGCCTCTACTTGACTAGCTCGTTAATCGAAGATGGTTATGTTTCCTAACCATAGACATGAGCTGTCATTTGATTAACGGGATCACATCATTAGGAGAATGATGTGATTGACATGACCCATTCCATTAGCTTAGCACCCGATCGTTTAGTATGTTGCTATTGCTTTCTTCATGACTTATACATGTTCCTATGACTATGAGGTTATGCAACTCCCGTTTACCGGAGGAACACTTTGTGTGCTACCAAACGTCACAACGTAACTGGGTGATTATAAAGGTGCTCTACAGGTGTCTTCAAAGGTACATGTTGGGTTGACGTATTTCGAGATTAGGATTTGTCACTCCGATTGTCGGAGAGGTATCTCTGGGCCCTCTCGGTAATGCACATCACTTAAGCCTTGCAAGCAATGCAACTAATAAGTTAGTTGCAAGATGATGTATTACAGAACGAGTAAAGAGACTTGCCGGTAACGAGATTGAACTAGGTATTGAGATACCGACGATCGAATCTCGGGCAAGTAACATACCGGTGACAAAGGGAACAAACGTATGTTGTTATGCGGTCTGACCGATAAAGATCTTTATAGAATATGTAAGAGCCAATATGAGTATCCAGGTTCCGCTATTGGTTATTGACCGGAGACGTGTCTCGGTCATGCCTACATTGTTCTCGAACCTGTAGGGTCCGCACGCTTAACATTACGATGATAGTTTCATTACGAGTTTATATATTTTGATGTACCGAAGGTTGTTCGGAGTCCCGAATGTGATCACGGACTTGACGAGGAGTCTTGAAATCGTCGAGACATAAAGATCGATATATTGGACGACTATATTTGGACACCGGAAAGGTTCCGGATGAGATTGGGACAATACCGGATCACCGGGAGGTTATCGGAACCCCCCGGGAGGTATATGGGCCTTATTGGGCCTTAGTGGAAAGGAGGGGAAAGGAGCAAGGGAAGGGCCCCCCCCCAAGCCCAATCCGAATTAGGAAGGGGGGCGGCCCCCCTTTCCTTCCTCCCTCCTCCTTCTTCCTTCCCTCTCCTACTCCTAATAGGAAAAAAGGGAGTCCTACTCCCGGTGGGAGTTGGACTCCCCCCTAGGGCGCGCCACCCTCCTTGGTCGGCCCCCTCCTCCACTCCTTTATATACGGGGGCAGGGGGCACCCCATAGACACAACAGTTGATCATTGATCTCTTAGCCGTGTGTGGTGCCCCCTTCCACCATAGTCCTCGGTAATATTGTAGCGGTGCTTAGGCGAAGCCCTGCGACGGAAAAACATCAAGATCGTCACCACGCCGTCATGCTGACGGAACTCATCCCCGACACTTTGCTGGATCGGAGTCCGGGGATCGTCATCGAGCTGAACGTGTGCTAGAACTCGGAGATGCCGTAGTTTCGGTGCTTGATCGGTCGGGCCGTAAAGACGTACAACTACATCAACCGCGTTGTGCTAACGCTTCCGCTTCCGGTCTACGAGGATACGTAGACAACGCTCTCCCCTCTCGTTGCTATGCATCACCATGATCTTGCGTGTGCGTAGGAATTTTTTTGAAATTACTACATTCCCCAACATAAAATTCACAATTGTGCCGGCGAAAAGCACTTGAGAATCTTGATCGGGCCGATGGAAGAGCGACCCTTTGAAAGCGTCGTGCGCTGTTCTGCAGGGACGCAGCGAGCAAGTAACTAGGCGCTGCCATGTTTAGTGCTCGTTTTTTCTAGACACGTCGCAGGAGTGTTCAGGATGTTTTCATTATTAGATGGAGGAAAACATCCATTATAAACCTTGAACTTGTAGAGCTTAGCTAATTCAAACCCTCAACTCTGAATTCCGACGGTTGGTACATTGAACTTATCAATCCCGGTCTAAATTAAACCTTGAAGCTATTTGGTGCACCGGGAAAGCGGTGATCCTGTGATTACATTTCTCAGTTCGTTTCTTTAGTGGGCCGGCCAGCCTGAAAAATATCCATAATCTTTTTTACGAATTTGAAAAATTAGGCATGATAATGAAAAACGTTTGCAAATCAGAAAAAATGTTCAGAAATTAAAAAATATTATTAAATACGAAAAATTTGGGACTTTTGAAAAAAATCGGAAATTAAAAAATATTATTAAACACGAAAAAACTTTAGGAGTTTCGATAAAATTTCGTGAGCACAAAATATGTTCGCAAATCTGAAAAAAACGGAAATAAAAAAGATTCTTAAATTTGAAAAATCCTCAGGAGTTTGGAAAAATGTTCGCGAACTAAAAAATTGTTCGCAAAATTGAAAGGTTTCTTGCATTTGAAAAAAATCGTGAACTCCAAACATGTTTTGAATATTAAAAACTGTTCATGAATTTGAAAAAAGATCACGAACTCAATAAATGAAAGAAATGTTCACGAGCTCAAAAAATGTTAGCAAATTTAAAAGGTGTTCTAAAAAGATTCGTGAGTTTGAAGATTGTTTGTGAAGTTGAACAAATATCCACAAACTCGAAAAATCTTCGCAAAGTCAAAAGATATTTGTGAATTTGAATTAGATTTCATGATTTTTTTGAAAATATTCACATGTTTGAAAGATGTTCATGTCTAAAAACCACCTCTAGTCTCATGCGGGGCACCCAGTAACTGATTTGTTTTTTGTATTCGTGCCCACTTGCATAGCAAACTTAAGCTTTTCTGTTAATCTCTTTCGGGCAATGGTCTAGTGTCTACTGTCTAGATCTTTTTTTCTCTTTCGATTTTATGTTTCCGTAATTTATATTATCATTTTATATCCTTTTTGTTTATTTTTAATTTACATTTTCCTTAGGCATTTTTTATTTACGTATTGATTTTTCTTTCTTTCTTTCCTTTTTCCTTTTCTCCATTTTATTATCAGATTTGCTTTTTAAACACATGAGCATCATATATCTACTTTGATGTATATTTACGAATATACAATGAGCATTTTACAAATACATGGTCAATTCTCTTAAATACATGGTGGCAGCGCGGCAGCCTTGCCATTGATTCTCGCGGGAACCGAGGCGATGAGGATGACGAAACAACGTCTCGTTGACTCGGCGGGCCCATCATTACGATCGTGTTTGCTCGGCATTATTTCACTCGACGAATGAGCTTTAGATCTTGATTGCATTACATCGCTTGCAGTCTTTGGCCGGATCAATGCTCATTCTCTATTGGACAACATATTATCAAGGGTGTCTTTTTATTCTATGTAAATAAATCATAAAGAAAGAAAGATAAAGGGAAAAAACTCAAATATTTTTTTACGACAACAAAAACTCGTATGTACGGAGTTTCTATGGTTATTTTTAGGAGACGGGGTGCAGTATGTTTTTTTTCTGGCATATGAGTCGCTTCAGCCCAGCCCAGCCCAGCCCAGCCCATTATTTTTATAGCCCAGCATCAAGGTCCAACCAGACCACGCAAATCCATCCCCATCACTCTCTCTCTCCCTCGCCGCCGGCGCCACCGCGCCGCCGACGACAGCAGTACGCCATGCTCCGCCTCCACAAGTACGTCCTCACCCAACTGCTACCTTCTTCCTCCGCCTCCGCCTCCGCCTCCGCCATCTCCCCTCTCAGCCGCCTCATCTCCGCCGCCGCGCCCGCCGTTTCCCCCACCCCTAGCTGCTTCGCCGTGGAGGAGTACCTCGTCGCCACCTGCGGCCTCACCCGACCCCAGGCCGCCAAGGCCTCCGCCAAGCTCTCCCACCTCAAATCCCCCGCCAAGCCCGACGCCGTCCTCGCCTTCCTCGCCGGCCTCGGCCTCTCCGGCGCCGATGTCGCCGCCCTCGTCGCCAAGGACCCGCAGCTCCTCTGCGCCGGTGTGGAGAAAACCCTGGCCCCCAAAGTCGCGGGGCTCACTGGCCTCGGTCTCTCGCCTTCTGAGATCGCACGCCTCGTCTGGCTCTCCCGTAACAGCTTCCGCTCTAGATCCATCGTCTCCAAGCTGCAATACTACTTGCCTCTCTTTGGGTCCTCTGAGCACCTCCTCCGGGCCTTCAAGAGGAACCCCTACCTTCTCTCGTCTGACCTTGAGGGTGTGGTCAAGCCCAATGTCGCTTATCTGCACGAGTGCGGGCTAGGTGCTTGTGATATTGCCAAGCTATGCATCAGTCGACCAGGTCTGCTCGTCATCAATCCAGAGCGCTTCCAGGACATGGTGGCATATGCCGAAAACATAGGTGTGCCCTGTGGTTCTGGGATGTTCAGCCACGCGCTGCATGCTGTTGTGTGTTTCAGCAAAGAGGAGATCGCGGCCAGGGTGGACTACTTGAAGAACACGTTCATGTGGACGGATGCTGAGGTGGGCATTGCTGTTTCTAAGGCCCCATTGATACTGACGAGGTCCAAGGAATCGCTGCAGCGCAGGTCTGAGTTCCTCATCTCCAAGGTGGGGTTGGAACCGGCATATATTGCTTGTCGTCCGGCAATGCTCACGTATAGCTTGGAGGGTCGGCTCAGACCCCGGTACTATGTTGTCAAATTTCTCAAGGAAAGTGGATTGCTAGATCATGACCGGGGCTACTTTGGTGCAGTCACGATCAGCGAGAAGGTATTCGTCGAGAAGTTCATATGCCCTCATAAGGATGCTGCACCGCATCTCGCTGAAGATTATGCAACAGCTTGCAGAGGGGAGGTTCCAGCTAGATTCAGTTTTACATGAACCAAGACTAATAAGAAAATTGGTATGTTCATTATGTCATTCAGTAGAGAAGAAACCATCACACTGCTGTGAAATGGCCATTTCAGTTTAGAATGCAATCCTCAATCAATATTTCCATGAAAGAATGGTCTCATTTTGGCCATAAAGATGATATGAAGTCTCTACTTTTCTTTGGATGGAAATTTTGAACCTCTTTTTCCTTGGGAAACAATTTTGGATTTGTTGATGTGCTGATCACTGTTGAGGATCCAGTTTTGATCTAGTTTGTTGGTTGCTTGCTTGCTTTAGTTCTTCTACAAACAACAACAACAACAAAGCCTTTAGTCCCAAACAAGTTGGGGTAGGCTAGAGGTGAAACCCATAAGATCTCGCAACCAACTCATGGCTCTGGCACATGGATAGCAAGCTTCCACGCACCCCTGTCCATAGCTAGCTCTTTGTCGATACTCCAATCCTTTAGGTCTCTCTCAACGGACTCCTCCCATGTCAAAATCGGTCGACCCCGCCCTCTCTTGACATTCTCCGCACGCTTTAGCCGTCCGCTATGCACTGGAGCTTCTGGAGGCCTGCGCTGAATATGCCCAAACCATCTCAAACGATGTTGGACAAGCTTCTCCTCAATTGGTGCTACCCCAACTCTATCTCGTATATCATCATTCCGGACTCGATCCTTCCTCGTGTGGCCACACATCCATCTCAACATACGCATCTCCGCCACACCTAACTGTTGAACATGTCGCCTTTTAGTCGGCCAACACTCCGCGCCATACAACATTGCGGGTCGAACCGCCGTCCTGTAGAACTTGCCTTTTAGCTTTTGTGGCACTCTCTTGTCACAGAGAATGCCAGAAGCTTGGCGCCACTTCATCCATCCGGCTTTGATTCGATGGTTCACATCTTCATCAATACCCCCATCCTCCTGCAACATTGACCCCAAATACCGAAAGGTGTCCTTCCGAGATACCACCTGGCCATCAAGGCTAACCTCCTCCTCCTCACAGCTAGTAGTACTGAAACCGCACATCATGTACTCGGTTTTAGTTCTACTAAGCCTAAACCCTTTCGGTTCCAAGGTTTGTCTCCATAACTCTAACTTCCTATTTACCCCCGTCCGACTATCGTCAACTAGCACCACATCATCCGCAAAGAGCATACACCATGGGATATCTCCTTGTATACCCCTTGTGACCTCATCCATCACCAATGCAAAAAGATAAGGGCTCAAAGCTGACCCCTGATGCAGTCCTATCTTAATCGAGAAGTCATCGGTGTCGACATCACTTGTTCGAACACTTGTCACAACATTATTGTACATGTCCTTGATGAGGGTAATGTACTTTGCTGGGACTTTGTGTTTCTCCAAGGCCCACCACATGACATTCCGCGCTATCTTATCATAGGCCTTCTCCAAGTCAATGAACACCATATGCAAGTCCTTCTTATGCTCCCTATATCTCTCCATAAGTTGTCGTACCAAGAAAATGGCTTCCATGGTCGACCTCCCAGGCATGAAACCAAACTGATTTTTGGTCACGCTTGTCATTCTTCTTAAGCGGTGCTCAATGACTCTCTCCCATAGCTTCATTGTATGGCTCATCAGCTTAATTCCACGGTAATTAGTACAACTCTGAACATCCCCCTTGTTCTTGAAGATTGGTACTAATATACTCCGTCTCCATTCTTCTGGCATCTTGTTTGCCCGAAAAATGAGGTTGAAAAGCTTGGTTAGCCATACTATCGCTATGTCCCCGAGACCTTTCCACACCTCAATGGGGATACAATCAGGGCCCATCGCCTTGCCTCCTTTCATCCTTTTTAAAGCCTCCTTCACCTCAGACTCCTGGATGCGCCGCACAAAATGCATGCTGGTCTCATCAAAGGAGTCATTCAGTTCAATGGTAGAACTCTCATTCTCCCCATTGAACAGCTTGTCGAAGTACTCCCGCCATCTATGCTTAATCTCTTCGTCCTTCACCAAGAGTTGGCCTGCTCCGTCCTTGATGCATTTGACTTGGCCAATATCCCTCGTCTTCCTCTCCCGGATCTTAGCCATCTTATAGATGTCCCTTTCACCTTCCTTCGTGCCTAACCGTTGGTAGAGGTCCTCATATGCCTGACCCCTTGCTTCACCAACAGCTCGCTTTGCGGCCTTCTTCGCCATCTTGTACTTCTCTATGTTGTCTGCACTCCTATCCAGGTATAGGCGTCTGAAGCAATCTTTCTTCTCTTTAAGCGCCTTCTGGACATCATCATTCCACCACCAGGTATTCTTATCTTCGCTTCTCCTTCCCCTGGACACTCCAAACTCCTCCGAGGCCACCTTACGAATGCAAGTCGCCATCTTCATCCACACATTGTCCGCATCCCCTCCTTCCTCCCAAGGGCCCTCCTTAAATACCCTCTCCTTGAACACCTGAGCTACCTCCCCCTTGAGCTTCCACCACTTCGTTCTAGCGACCTTGGCACGCTTATCCCGCTGGACACGAATACGTAAGCGGAAGTCAGCAACCACCAGCTTATGCTGGGGTACAACACTCTCCCCAGCTATCACCTTACAGTCTAGGCACGCACGCCTATCTTCTCTTCTCGAGAGGATGAAATCAATCTGGCTAGAGTGTTGGCCACTACTAAAAGTCACCAGATGTGATTCTCTCTTTCTAAAGAGGGTGTTAGCTACAATCATGTTGTAGGCTAGAGCAAAGCTTAAGACATCTTCTCCTTCTTGATTCCTGATGCCATAGCCAAAGCCCCCATGCGCCCCTTCAAAACCTGTGTTAGATGTACCCACGTGGCCATTGAGGTCTCCTCCTATGAAGAGCTTCTCACCAATCGGTACACTCCTAACCATGTCTTCCAAGCCTTCCCAGAACTCCCTTTTGGTGTTCTCATTGTGGCCTACTTGCGGGGCATATGCGTTGATAACATTGAGAACCAAGTCCTCAGCTACCAGCTTGACCAGGATAATCCGGTCCCCACGTCTCCTGACGTCTACCACTCCATACTTGAGGCTCTTGTTGATCAAGATGCCTACGCCATTTCTGTTTGCAGCCGTCCCCGTGTACCACAGCTTGAAGCCGGTATCCTCCACCTCCTTCGCCTTCTGTCCTCTCCATTTGGTTTCTTGGACGCAAAGGATATCAACACCTCTCCTCACTGCTGCATCAACTAGCTCCCGAAGCTTCCCTGTCAGAGACCCTACGTTCCAGCTACCTAAGCGAATCCTCCTAGGCTCGGCTAGCTTCCTTACCCTTCGCACTCGTCGAGTCAAATGCGAAGACCCTTGCTCATTTTCCACTACATCCGGGCGCCGATGTAGCGCGCCACTAAGGATGCGACGACCCGATCCTCGCTCACTTGCCACCGTATCCGGATCAAGATACGGCGCGCCACTTGGGGGGTGACGGCCCGGCCCTTGCCCATTTTCCACCACACCCGGGTTCCGATGTGGCGCGTCGCTGAGAGGGTTACGCCCCAACGAAAATCTTTTGGGTTTCATCTCCATAAGAGTGGCTGAGTTTTTACGTTAGCTCGCCAAGCCTATCACAACCCTCCTCCTTTACCCGGGCTTGGGACCGGCTATGTTGAGACAACATAGGCGGAGTTTGCTTTAGTTCTTCTAAGCTGAAATATTCCTTCTGCCTGGAGTAGCTTTATTAGTAGCTTTGTTTATAAGATATTAACTGTTCTGAAAGCAGGCCATTGTTGACTAGTAGTTTGTATATCAGTTTTTTTTTGTCTCTTGTAGTTTTGGATGACCTTCTGGGTGGTACTTTTCTAGGGGCATCTGATCTCGAAACTGAATAGTTGAGTACATCACCACGTGAACAGATATTTCTAACGCCCCGTTGCTTTTGTTGGAGAAGCAAATTGCCGCTTGCATGGTAATGGCATGGTGCTGACAAACAGAGGGCATTTCATACAACAAGGGAAGTTATGTTATGGTAACCTGAAAAAGGGTTATGGCATTACCATGTTAGTTTCTGCTATATCTTTTAGCTAATTTTATTCCATAAAAGCACTATCCATAATTCCATATAGATTGTGAGGGCATCTTTATCCTGTAGCATATTTGTTTAGGATAGTAAAGTGGGTCTTATGTACCATCACTTTTGCAAATTTCTATCTGGAAAGTTGGAATGGGAATAGGATGCCATGTAGTCTGGAATCTTGCAGAATTTCAGACATAGGAATTACTAGGTACCTCAGTCTACAAACCAACCTGTGTGAGGATGGTGCACATTTTGTTTGTTCCTGATGTGAGGCTGTAGAAGTTGTAGGAAATGAGATCTCAGGTGTGTCCTTGCATTTAAAGATCAGCTCTGTGTCGCCCTTCTCTGGTGCTTGTTGAAATTATAGAATCAACATTAATGAAATGTAGGAGAAGTGAACAGGTTGGCTGATGAAGTGACTTACCACCAGGTGACAAGATATGGGGTTCTTCCTCAAGCAAAAAGTGGCTGGGCAATAGGAGCATACTGATTGAATGTATTTGAATTTTTGCAATTGAAGATGTGCTGAAACTGCATGTAGATGGTGCTTTCTTCTTCTTCCAGGAAACGACGCGAAACATGTCGGCAATGGCTTTGATGCACTAATACATGATTCTGAAGGCTCTGTAAGTTGATGATGCCCTGAAGATTTAGTGACAAGTATGGCCTGATGCTGGCGTAAGTTTTATTCAGGGAAGCTCCTACTTGTCTCTTTTTTGAATTTTGCAAGTTAAAGTAAACCTTCTAGTATTATACTAGAGATTATAACATGGTGGCTGACGAGTTGCTGTCGCATGCCTCTCGGATTCATCAGCTCAGCTGAGTGAGGCAAACTGAACAAAATAGCAAGTCGAATAAAGTAGCAGCATCTTGTGCTTTAATCAATTCATACTTGGAGCTCCGTGTGCTTATATTTGAAAAAAATGAATGAATCGTGCATGCATGTAAACAGAAAGCGTGATGTAAATTTTCTACTCTGAATTCTGAATTTGAATCAGAGTTGATTGTTAACTCTAAATCATTCAGACTTCATGGGTTACACCCAAGTAAGTGTGAAGCTATAGTACTTTTTAAAAATCTTAACTTGAATCAGAGCAGAAAGTTAACACCAATCTTATAACGAAGTTTTTTGACTGTACTTTTTCCCTCCAACATGGCATGTTCTATATTTGGCTGCGAGAAACTAATACGGCTAACATTAATAGACGCTTCACTTCAGACTCTTCAGAGCCACAACTCAGTATTTTTCTATTATCACAGCGGCATCTCTATGACATTTGTTCTATGACTGTGGTTAACTAATTATGTTGACAAATCATGTTCTCGTCTTAAAAAATATCAATGATTAGAGGATTCTGAGCAAAAAGCCATTCTGTAGTTTTCATAAATGTCCAATTCAGTCTATTAAAATGGGCATATTTTCATACAGGTTCAGCAAAAGAGAAACATCATTTTTTAGTGCGAATAAAATTGTTTTACCCTATAATTTAAAGTGTGCATTTTTAGTATCTAATGTACTGAAGGCATGTGATGAATACCAATTGCAAATGCTAGCTGATTTTATCGTTCTTATTTCTGAAATTCTTTCTCCAATATTTTCTCTAAATGTTGGTTGTGCAGATCTGACACGGAAAATGAGAGGAACAATTTAGGGTGACATATTGGCGAGGAAGAACGACTGATTTCTTTTCTCTCTCGCTTCTGAGCACTATATGGTCCTACTTATTGTTGCATGGTTAACAATGCAAAGCACCAGTGGAGTTACACGTATAGTGCAAATGCGAGACAATAGAACGAATCTGAAGTTTTTCATCTCTGTTCCATAGAGACAATTGTTATAATTTTCGGGGTTAAAACAGGAGTTGTATTTTATCATCAACTGCCAGCACCTTGCCTTCATCATGTATTAAGTTTACTAGTGGCTTTTTTTTTAGTCCGTTGCATGCTACTTTGGTCGCTGCTAGCTCTTGATGACTTTACCTCTCTGCCTTCACCATGTATTAAGTTTACTAGACTTTATTCCTTGGAAGGCAGAGAGGTAAGACATGGCAGGGCACTGGAGTTGTTGTCCCATTCTCTAATCCAAATCACCTGAACTCAAAGTTTTCAATTTACTGAATATACACGCTAATTTCTTTCTTTCTTCCAGAGGGAGAGGATGTGCTAAAATTTGAGTTTACTTAATTGGAGCCAGCTCTCCATTGAAACATTCATTTGTCTAGGGCCGGTGTTCTTAACTTGTGAAATTCTAATAAATGCGAATATCATGCGTGACATTTGAACATGGTTGAAAGCAGCATTGAAAACTAAACGCGTGGTTACAAGCTCAGATGTCACAAACAGTTGACCCTTTTTACACATTTTTGCCATTGAGATTAACTGCATTTCTAAACATGAAAAATGTTTTGTCTTCTCATAAACCTACTGCAACTTGTTGCAGGCATCAGTCAACAACAAGAATGGAGAGGGTGAAGCAGCACTTGAAGAAAATTAATGAAGCAAAAGCTAATGCAGCACGCTCCTCGAGAGGCTGCATCCATCCCTGCCGTTGGCTGGCTGCTGGACAAAACTGGGGCTACGCATGATTGGTTAGACGCACTTGATCTTCTTGAACCTGGCCGGCGACGACAGAGGCAGCTCGAGCGGGCAGGTGACCTCCAGCCTGTGCGCGTCGCCGTGTGGCGGGTACTTGACCTCCCCGGCGAGCTTCAGCTGCAGCCGGAACACGCCTCCCGCCGCGCTCTCCTTCACGAACTCCGCCACCCCGGCGCTTCCCAGAGGGGCGGCGCTCTCGCCCGACGCCGCGACGTTGTACACCTCCGTCTTCCACTGCCGGATGTTCCCGTGCGAGCCCCCCCGCATCCTGACGCTGGCGAAGCGCTCGCCGGCGAAGAGCAGCTTTGCATCGAGCGGCGCGCCAACCCTGGCGTGCATGGCCCAGTTCCGGTTGTGCACGGCGACGGCGAGGGAGATGTCGTAGGCGAGCATGGTGCCATTGGGGCCGGTGAGGGCCAGGTGGGCGAGCGAGGCATCCTCAACGGCGACGCGGACGGGGAGGACGAAGGCGTAGGCCGCGACGAGGATGGCAACCAGGAGAAGGAGGAGGAGGAGGATCAGGAGGCAGCGGTGGGGAGTGTGGCCCCGAGAGCCGTCGTCGCAGCAGCAGCAGACAAAACAGTCGCCGTCGCCGCAGTCAGCAGGGCAGTCGCCGTCGCTCATGGTGCTGATTGTTTCTTGTTTGTGCCTGATCTGATTCTGTCATTCTGATCGATTGAGCAGCAGGGCAAAGCGATGTATGCATATATAGATTATTAGAGATTAGAGATGAAAACGGATCCGACTCCAACAAGAGCCGCAACACCTTCCATTTTCGATCATGATGGCGTTCCGGTGTTCGACTTCAAGTCGGATTAGGGAGGTGTCGATTTTGTTTGTAGCAAATATTTGGCCCTGGTCTAGTGCATACTCGTGTGCAAAATCTTGAATTGAGAATGTCCGTTACCGGTCGTGTCACAAAGTCGCTCTTAAATGGGGTTTATACAAAAAGGCTACTCTTATTGAGAGGTGTTTATACAAAGGTTGTGGAAAATAGATACGATCATACCGTGTGTAAAATTTGACACGACGAGAGGTCACCTTGTGTTTTTCTTTTTCTTTTGAAAGATAATATTTGCACCATCAGTAAACTCATTCTATTCACCTAAAAAATAAGAATTTAATTTTAGATTTAAGTATACTCATTTTTATTCAAATTAATTGCATGAGAATATCGCATTTGCATTTGAATACTCTAAAACTCCAAAGTATGATACTTGCAAAGTTCAAAAGATAGGTCCATATGTATTGAATTTTTGAATATTCCTCTTCCATCGATATTTTCACGGGAGTGGCGACACAGAGGAGAAGGTGTTTTCCTTATGTTCGAGTGTACAGTTTTAATAAGTGATTTTCTGATTATTACATGGATTTTTGTAACCAGATATTTTAAATGACTCTTATCTATTATAAAGGTTCATCACCAGTACAAAGCATCCCGAACATAATAAGAATTACATTGAGGTCCCTCAACCAGCGAACAACCACTATGCTGCTAGGACGAGCCACCGACGCACCGCTATTGTCAATCGCTTACCGAAGCTGGCCTGACCTTGTCGATGATAGTAAAGAAGTCTTCAGGCATGTGCCTCTAAGGGCCATCACTCCAGAGCCACAATTGTCATTATTGAACTTTTTTCTTGATCTGAACTAACACAAATAACTCGTTGTCTTGCACTCATGGCATGAAACTCTAACCTCACCGCCCACAAAATCGGCCCTGCAAGGACTAGACCGAGGTACCGTGGACCCCCTCCCCGTCGTGGGTTGCCGGAGCGGCAGACACAAGCGAGGAGAGTCGACGAGCGGCAGAGCGTGGACGGAACAGACCTTCACCCTAGCGCCACCAGCGAGAGGGAGGAATATAATTGTTCGTGGTTTTGTAACCGAATTGACAAAGTCAAATATCTAGAGAGTATCACTCTAGTTTTTTTTTGAGGAGTATCACTTTAGTTAAAAGAAAAGGTTTTCATGGCCCACTACGCTCATATTTTCCGGTTCGCCCAGACACGCAACTATAGTCTTGCTCGCCGCCGCCGCTCGTTTCCCCTGGCGCCCCTATTCCTCGCATTTAGGGAGTCTAACTTCCAGACTCGCTGAAGGGGGCGAGCAAGGTGGGCTGGCCCACGCGCCTAGGAAGACATAGCCTGTTTTTTCTGTTTTTTATATATTTTCTGTTTTATTTTTTTATTTTTTTGCTTATACTTTAAAATATTCTAATGTTAAACAAGTATTTTTAAAACCACCCTATAAAAATATTTGAAAAATGTTGAATGAGTATTTCAAAAATGTTAACCAAGTATTTGAAAATGTTGAACAAGTATTTTTAAAATGTTGAACAAGTATTTGAATCCACTCACGCATCCTATTTTACTGTATTTACTGTATGCTTCGCAAAGGGTTGCGCAAGCTTTTTTGTTTTTTGTACAGTATTTCTACCGGTTTTGGGAAGGTTCCTGAACCATGTTTACTACTTTCGGTTTTTTTATCGTTTTTCATTTTTCTTTCTTTTTTTCGTTTTTCCTATTTATTTTTTTCGTAACTGCAAAAATTCATATAAAATTTCAAAATTTCAAAATTTGTTCAAAATATAAAAAAATGCACTTTTTCAAACAAAATGGATTCCAAAATTTTGTCCACTGTTTTTTAAAAAAATCTTCGGAATTACAATGTTTTTTCATGTTTTACCAAAAATGTTCTATTTTTAAACTAATCGTTCACATTTTCCAAAAATGCTCTGAAAATCGAACTTTGTTCATGTTTTCAAAAACCGTTCACATTTTGTATAAAATTATGGATTTTTTTTCATGTTTTATAAAATTGTTCAAGTTGTTTTTAAAAAATCACCTTTTAAAAATTGTTCAGAATTTCAATATTTGTTCACGTTTTTGAAAAATTGTTCACTTGTTTCAAAAATTGTTACGAATTTTGAAATTTGTGCATCCTTTCATAAATTGTGCACGTGTTTTGTATAGAATTTCAGTTTTTTTTTCATGTTTTTCAAAATTTGTACACTTTTTTACAAAATTTTTCGGTATTTCTATATTTTTTCATGTTTTTTAAACATTGTTCACTTTTTAAAAAACTGTTCGGAATTTGGAAATTTAATCACGTTCTTTGTATAGAAATTTGGAATTTTTGTCACGTTTACAATTTTGTTCATGTTTTTCTGAAAGAGTTTGAAAATTCAAAAAGAATGGACTTTGAAAATCTTGTCCATGCTATCAAAAAATTTCACAGAAATGATTGTTCACATTTTCCTAATGTTGTTTGCTTTTTCAAAAAAGTTCAGAATTTTTGAAAAGAGTTCGATGCTTTTGGAAAAAATACTCGGATATACCGTTGTAATCTATAATACTTAATAGTTCGCGGTGCCAATTAGTCACTAACAGGTAGGTGTGCCGGCTAGCTTTACACGTTATTTAGCGTGGGATACCGATTTCGATCGCTAGTACCACGTGTTTTTTGTTGTTGCGAATTTTACATAGGCACCGCGCTAGAGTTTGATCGCTCGCCCACTTGCACTGCCCGCATGTGTGAACCTCTGCCAATCTGCCACAAAGAGCGGCAGATAGAAGGTCCTCGTTTCCCGGTCCCCTCGTAGCCGCCACCGCGCTCCATTTTCCGGTTGGCCAAGAGCACACAACTTTAGTTACCAAGGTATAGTTTGGAACTTCAAAAATGGTTTTCCCTGTTACAAAATTTCCCGTTCAGTATGCTCCTCTCTGCTCCACATCCCCTTCCCTCTCTCTCTCCAAGGTACGGGCTTTCATCAAGTGTTAAAATAAAAGGCTTTCAAGGCCCACTAAGCTCACATTTTCCGGTTGGCCCAGACCACGCAACTATGGTCTTGCTCGCCGCCGCCGCCGGTTTCCTCATCCCCCTGCCGCCGCCGCCATGCTACAGCTCTGGTGTTGTATCCTCACCCAGCTCCTCTCTGCTCCACCCCCTCCCAGGTACCAGCTCCACCCCCTCATATCTGCCGCAACGGCCTCCGTCGACACCTGCGGCCTTGCCCGAGCGCTGGCACTCAAGGCCTCCGCTAAGCTCTCCCACCTCAAATCCCCATCCAATCCGAACGTTGTCCTCGCCGGCCTCAGCTCTCCGGTGCCGATGTCACCGCCCTCGTTGCCAAGGACCCGATGTTCCTCTGTGTCGCGTCAAAAAAACCATGGCCCCCGTCGCCGTCGGGCTCGCCGGCCTTGGCCTCTCTCGTTCTGACATCGCACGGCGGGCCAACTCTGTTGTATATCCATCGTCTCCAATATGAAAATACAGCATGTGCTTCTTTGGCTCCTTTGAGGACCCCCTCCGGGTTCTTAAGCGCGGATCATGCCTTCTCTCGGGCGACCTTTACAGGGTGGTCATGCCCAATGTCGCGTTCCCGCGTGAGTGCGGGCTAGGTGATTGCGACATCGCCAAGCCGAGCCTCTCCGTGCCATGGATGATCAGCACCAACCCGAAGCACGTCCGGACAACGGTGTCACACATTCGCCGAGTTCCGCTGGCCAAAAACTTAGTAGTGTCTTGGCAAGTGGGGCCCACCAACAACAAGGCGATGGAGAAGTGATGACGGTCTAAAATTTTCGGGTTTTGACTAAGAAAACTCGATAATCTTTTTGCCTTTTTCTTTTTTTTATTACGGACTTCCAGCGGTCACCTCGATGCCGAGCTCCTGCGAAGAAACTCGGCAAAGACCTGAAATCCTGGCTCAGTCCATAAAATCCTGGCTCATGGTCTTACTGAACTTGCAAGAAATGCGGATCCTTTCGTCTTGGCGAATGTCCCTGAATGATTATAAGAGATTTTGTACTCCAACTGTAACCTAGTTGTTTTGATCAATTTATTGATCATTTTTCTCAAACAAAATAAAGATTTTTTTTATTGACGGGAAAAGGAAGAGTTTTTTTTTATGAAAAAAGAACCTTCATTGCAATATGCCACAAGATAAAAAAAACGTGTATACGATTGGCTCCATCCCATCCCAGTCCCAGCCCAGACCATTATGAGAGCAGAGGAGCAAGTGACGCGTGGGGTCACCTTGTCATCGCCAAGGCCACGCTAGTCCTCTCGCTCTCGCACTTTGTCAAGCCCGACGCCGTGCTCGCCTTCCTCGCCGGCCTCGGCCTCTCCGCCGCCGACCCGCAGTTCCTCTGCGCCAAAGTGGAGAAAACCCTGGCACCCAACGTCGTCGGGCTCACCGACCTCGGACTCTCGCCTTCTGACATCGCGCGCCTCGTCTCGCTGTCCCGTCACAAATTCCGCTGCAGATCCATTGTCTCCAGGCTGCACTACTACCTCACTCTCTTTGGGTCCTCTGACAACTTCCTGCGGGCCCTCAAGAGGAACTTCTACCTTCTCTCGTCTGACCTCGACGGCGTCGTCAAGCCCAATGTCGCTTATCTGCACCAGTGCGGGCTAGGTGCTTGTGATATTGCCAGGCTCTGCATAGCTAGGCCATCCCTGCTCGGCATCAGCACGGAACGCATCCGCACAGCAGTGGCCTGCGTCGAAGGTCTTGGTGTACCCCGTGGATCTCCGATGTTCAGACATGCGCTAAACGCTGTTGCATTCCTCAGCGAGGAGAAAATCACCGCCAATGTAGAGCACTTGAAGAAGATGTTCAGGTGGTCGGATGCCGAGGTGGGCATTGCTTTTTCTAAGGCTCCAACGTTGCTAACGAGGACCAAGGAATCGCTGCAGCGCAGGTCCGAGTTCCTCATCTCCGAGGTGGGGTTGGAACCGGCATACATTGCTTGTCGTCCGGCAATACTCACATACAGCTTGGAGGGCCGGCTCAGACCCCGGTACTACGTTGTCAAATTTCTCAAGGAAAATGGATTGCTAGATCACGACCGGGACTACTATGCTGCAGTCATGATCAGCAAGAAGGTATTCGTCGAGAAGTTCATATGCCCTCATAAGGATGCTGCACCGCACCTCGCTGATGACTATGGAGCAGCTTGCAGAGGAGAGGTTCCAGCTAGATTCAGTTTCACATGAACCAAGACTAATAAGAAAATTGGTATGTTCATTATGTCATTCAGTAGAGAAGAAAAAGCATTGCACTGCTATGAACTTGTCCTTCCTCGTGTTGTCATATTGCACACATCTTGGAACTAGGAAAGTGTGAGATCACGGCATTCTGCCAATTTCTTTGAAGTATCAATGAGTAGTATTTCTGCACACTCTGTATCTTTGTGTTCTAAAATGTCCATTGCAGTTTTCAGTGCAATCCTCCATCTGCCTTTCATGAAAGAATGTTCTTATTTTGGCCATGAAGATGACATGAAGTCTCGAAATTCCTGGGAGTAGTGTTTCTGTTTCTGACTAGTAGTTTGTATCAGCTTTCGTTTATTTATCTCTTGTAGTTTTGGATGGCCTTCTGAGTGATACTTTTCTAGGGGAATCTGATCTCGAAACTGAATAGTTGAGTAGTAGGCTAGTTGCATTTTTGTTGAAAGCCTACTTGTATATCACTATGTAAACAGAAATTTCTAATGCCCTGGTATTTGTACTGGAGAAGCAAATTGATGCTTGTATTGCATAGTGCTGAAAAACAGAGGACATACTTAAGTTATGGTAACCTTAAAAAGGGTTATGGCATTACCATGTAAATTTCTGCTATATCTTTTAGCTAATTTTGTCATTCCATAATCGCACTATCTATATTGATCGCGAGGGCATATTTATCCCTTAGCATATTTGTTTAGGGTAGTATAGTGGGTCTTATGTACCGTCATTTTTGCAAATTTCTATCTGGAAAGTCAGAAGAGGAAAAGGAAAAAAGCCGGATGGGATTCCATGTAGTCTGGAATCTTGCAGAATTTCAAATATAGGAATTACTACGTACCTCAGTCTACGAAGCAACCTGTGAGGATGGTGCACATTTGTTTGTCCCTGATGTGAGGCTGTGGAAGTTGGAAGAAATGTGATCTCTGGTGTGTGCGTGCAGTAAGGCAAAGGAGTGGCCCATGCTATACTGGCCAAGAGATGTGATTTGAAGATCAGCTAGCTGTGTGTCCCTTCTGTGGTGCTTGTTGAAATTATAGAAACAAGATGAATGAAATGCAGGCGAGGGGACCAGGTTGATCAATGGAGCAACTTACCACCAGGTGAGAAGGCGTGGAGGTTTTTCTCAAGCAAAGAGTGGCTGCGCAACAGGAGCATACTGATTTACTGAATGTGGATGGTGCTTTCTTTCTTCCAGGTGAAATGTGCTGAAAGCAGATATTGATGATGCTTTCTTCTTCTTCCAGGAAACGCGACAAAACATGGCGGCTATAGCTTTGCTGTATTATACTGTTCTGAAGGCCCTGCTGGGATGATGCCTTGAAGCTTCAGTGACAAGTATGGCCTGACGGTGGCACGAGTTCTGTTAAGGGAAGCTCCTATTTTTCTCTTTTTTGAATTTTGCAAGTTAAGTAATCCTTCTAGTATTGTACTATTGATGTGAATAAACTAGCATATGGTAGTTTAATCATTTTTTGCATCTTGTTGGATCTTCACTTGGGTGTGAACAGTTTGTATGAATTCTGAACTCTGAATTTGAATCAGAGCTGAGCATTAACTCTGAATCTTTCAGACTCCATGTGCAAACTCTGAATCTTATTATAGCCTATTCAAGCGTGAAGCTATAGTAAGCACTTAGAAATCTTTCAGGAGCCTAGGTTTAACTCGAACCAGAGCAGAAAGTTAACAGCAATCTTACAACAAAGTTTGTAAACTGTGCGCCCCCGCACAGAACAACATATTCTATATTTGGTTGCCAGAAGCTAAAAGGGTAAACTTCTATGTATGATTCACTTCAACCTTTTCCATCATTACAGCAGCATCTGTATGACAAAGAGTTCTTATGTTTTCAGAATATTGGGACTGGGCTTAACTAATTATGATGAGAAATCACTTTCTTATCCTAAATACATCAGCGATTAGAGGATTTTGATTCTCCTGCCGTTTTCATAAATGCCCAATTTAGTATATTAAAATAGGCATATTTTCATATAAAAGTTCACCAAAAGCGAAATGCCATTTTTATTAGTTTCACTGTCAGCGGATAGAACTGTTTTACCTTGAAGTGTAAAGCGTACGTTTAGTATCTAAAAAATGTATTGAAGGCATGTGATGAATTCCAAGTGCAAAGGCTAGCTGATTTGGATCATTCTTATTTTGTGGAATCTATTTGTCCAACATTTATGCATATTTATTTACAGTAGATAAATAAACTTCACTAGTGAACTTACTGCATGAAGGCAATGTGATGACAGTTGATAATAAAATACAGCTCCTGAATTAATCCCGAAAAACTCACGCAAGAGGCCATGATGAGCAATCGACGCGATGAGGACCAGGAGAAGGAGAAGAGCAGCAACTAACTCGGTATGGTTGTTTACCAACTGCGTTTTACACAAAGAGGAGAGCCTTATAATCAGAGACATATCCAGGGGATTGGACATGACTATAAATCGGTGAGTCTAAATAAACAGGGGCTGGGTTTGAACATGTACAGGTATGGTGCCACGTACGGGGATTCAGTTCAACTCAATAATCGGAGAGAAGAGCAGCACAAGATAGTCCAAACTACAGCCACATCAAGCGCTCCTAGGTAGGTCCTGAGATGCAGCAGGGAATGTACCTAGCTACAGATCGTCGAAACAACGCGGCCAATAGGTGCCGGAGATTGCTTAAAAGGCAGGGAGGTAAGACATGACCACTGGAGGTGTTTGTCTTTATCTGATCCACCCAAATTCAAGGTTTTCAGTTTACTGAATGTAGGTGGTGCTTTCTTTCATTCTTCCAGGGGTAAGAGGTTGCTCCTTCCAGGAGGAGACGATGAAGCATGGCAGCGGCTGGGGCTTTTGTCTATACAAACGCGACTCCGAAGGAGGATCGACAAAGTTTGCGCTGAGAAATGGTTTTGAGCATGTATATATGACTTTTTATTGTAGGGCAAGTATAGTGTTTGCCTACTGAATATACTAGATGATGCCCCGCACGTTGTTGCGAAAATGTTTGCAATATTTCAATGAGATTTTGATTATATGGAACATGAATTCTTGAAACAATAGTTTCTGAAAGTATATAAGAATTAAATGTAAATAGCATAATAAAATGGAATTTTACATGCATGCATGTTGTAGTGGATTTTTAATATGCATAGTTGCATGTTGAGGTGGGCCTTTTCTTATGCATGTTGAATGATTAGGTGGCATGCTTGCATGTTAAGAAAAATACCTTAGTGGGGGCTAGCTATTTAGATATAGAAGATAGAAGATGTGCACATTGCTCCCTCCCCTGTCTCCTCTAAATCGTGCCTTGGTCCGTCTGTTTGCTTTTCTGAGAAGACATGCCCTGGAACACCGTCGACAGGGCTGACGTTTGACGATGTCCATGGCATGATGCACTGCATCAGTATCCAAAAGGGCAGTGCATAATTACTTGTGTGTGAAAAATGGGCTCCACGGCACAGTCTAGGAAAGGGTTTTCAAGGCAACATCAGAAGCGCTTGAATGCGCCACTCCCTCCCTCCTTCTGTCCCGAGCTTCTCCTCTCATGCCCTTATAGGAATGTGCTCCAACTTGTTTCTCAAACCCTTTTAAGTATGCCATAGATAAAGTCTTAGATGTGTTATAGACTTTGCACCAAGGTAATAATCTCAAACAAAGAAACTGAAGAGTTTTTAGCTCAAACAAGCTCCACATCCATATAGAACTTATTCATTGCACACTGTTATGATTTCGGTCTCGTAGAGAGTAGTTGTAGTAATTGTTTTCACCAATGAAATAGGGAACACCAAGATGCAATTTGTGGCATAGGGATCTTTGATAGTATTATTATGCACTTGAACAACGGATGAAGCAAACAGCTAGCGCAGGGAGGTACCCCGGGCTTAAAGTTATTGAATGGAACTTGGGAGGAAAAATTAAGCAAAACATAGTACTCGTACTATGGTGGGTAACAACAAGCAGGACTAATTAGTTTTCATGGTGTAAACACCGATTGCATTGACGAATCTCGCAGCACGTCCATGGAAGCCCATGACGATGCTGTTTTCTGGTATATCAGCTTTGAAAGGAGTGGCAGCACCTTTTCCAAAAGGCCCATAGGTATTGAAATTGGTGACAAGCTTGAGTGATGTTAAAACTATCTGGCTAAAGTCCGCCCACATAGTATAAGATCCCGACAGTTCCTTCACGTACTCCTTGGGGGCCAAATTGATCTGTAAATTCACATAAGAAATCTTGGTCGATATAAGAGAACTGAATTGAATCCACTATACCCTCGGCTTTAATGGTCACGCTTTCTAGGCGCCAAGGTTTCACTATGTTTTTGACAACTGAACCATACTTGATTCCACCCCATAGTACAGACGACGTATCGAAAGCGGGGAAACTCTGCATGACATAATGGAGTGCATTGTTAGCATTTATCCTTGGACAGACGTACGCGCGCTACAGCGTTGGAAATTCTCACCTCCGGGGCGCAGAATGCATGGATGGTAAGCTGCAGAATCAGTCCACCATCTATCTTCCGATGCTACCTCCGTTTGATGACACCACGTGCCATTGAGAGGTCACCCGTTCCACCAACAATGGCCCATGGACTATGTTCTTCGACGGATGCTCCCATTACCTCTAGAGTGCTTCCCTTCAACCTGTGTCATTCATCACGCTTATCATGTAAGTATATATGTGACAAACCAACAATCCTACTGCATAATGAAGTACTTCAGGACAGGGTGAATATAAATTGAAGAACATATGATGGATTGATTGCTTACCTTCCAGCCTCGAACACCACGGTGAATGAATGGTGCCAGGTCCCAGCAAGGATATGCAGGCCTTGCGCACGAGCAACTAGAGTTCTCTCGGCATTATCAGCATCATATATTGTCCAATTGTGAACGACGGTGCTGCCAAATCCATGCTTGCCGGCATCATCTCTGGTAATTATGTCTTCTTGGTTTGGGCTTGCTCCGCCATAGAGATGGTGCAAATACAGGT